TCTCCTTGCCTGAAATGAAACATGACTATCCTCCGAGGTCTCTACTTCCCCTATAATACTGAGAGGAGGCTATTCAAAGTGTCTCAGGGAAAGGAGGTTAATTTTCTTCTTCCTGATATCCAATGCTACTTCTAAGCTATTACTTCTTCACCCTTAGGTAAAAATCTCTGTTCTTATTAGTGAGGAAGTAGAACAACTAGAACTCTCTTGAATGGAATGTAAATTGGTATAACCACTTTGAAAAACTATTTGGCAGTATCTACCAAAGCTACATGCCCTATGACCTGGCAATCCCACTCCTAGGTATATACACAATAGACATGTACACTTCCGTGCACCAAAAAGACATACAGAAGATTGTTCACAGGGTCATTATTTGTGTAATAGCTCAAAACTGAAGATAATTCAAATGTTCATCAAGAGTAAAATGGATAAATAAATCATGATACAGTCACCTTCTTAAATGTCATACAGTAATAAAAATGAATTAGTGTTACATGCATAATGGCTGAATCTCAGAAACATAATATTGGGTGAAAGAAGCCAGACATAACACAGTAAATACTGCACCATTCCATTTATCTGAAGCTCAAAAATAAGCAAAAATAATCTATGGTGGAGGATAACAATGTAGGGGAACAGAAGGAAAGGTTTCTGGGCTGTTGGTAATGCTCTTTTTTTTTTTTTAATTTGGGTTCTGATTCAATAAACATGATCGTTTTATGAAAATTTACCAAGCTGCTTATGACTTGTGTACTTTGATGGATATATGCTATACTTCAATTAAAAAAAAAGTTTATATAAAAGAAATAAAAGTAACTCTGCTACTTTGAAGTTTATACCATCTATCTATTCATTCTTAGCACTATCATCTACCTGCCTCCTGGTCACTGCATCACATCAAAGAGTTAGAATCCTGGTTAGCAGTCTTCTATACTCTAAATCCTGCTTTAACTAAGAATGACTTTAATATGCATGTGGACAAACCACCCAAAAGCCTCCTCTCACTCTTTTACCTTACCTCTGTAGACCTTCATATTCACTCCACTGTGGCTATCCACTCCATGAGTATATCCTGAATTTACCATTACCCAGAACTTGCTAATAGCTAAAATCATACACTCAACAAGCTTTTTTCTAACTACAACCTCCTGTTGCACCTTTGATTTTCCTTCTGCTCTACTCCTGTTCTTTGAGCTAATAAAATTACCTACATTCGAAAACTTCTCATGAGAATGAAATGATGTGCATCAACAGCTTGGCACAGTGTTGGACACACAGGAAGTGCTCAATAAATGGTAGCCATATTTAGTTTTGTTTTCTTTTTTTAAAGATTTTATTTATTATTTAAGAGAGAGAGAGAGAATGAGCAGGAGGAGGGACAGAGGGAGAAGGAGAAGCAGACTCCCCACTGAGCAGGGAGCCCAATGCAGGGCTCTATCCCAGGACCCTGAGATCATGACCTGAGCCAAAGACAGATAATTGAGCCACCCAGGTGCCCCCACATTTTAATAATATGTATTTTATCATAAACAAATTTTCTTTAGAGACTCACATTTTCCTCAAATTCACTCAACCTCTGGCATGAAAGAAACTTGGCTTTTGTCTAACACTACTACATTCTTCCCAGTCCTTTTTTTAAAAAGATTTATTTATTTGAGAGAGAGGTGGGGAGGGGCAGAAGGAGAGAGAAAGAGAGAGAGAAATTTTAGCCGACTCTGCACTCAGCACAGAGCCCGACACAGGGCTCTGTCCCATGACCCTGAGATCAGGGCCTGAGCAAAAACTAAGAGAGGTTTAAGTGACTGCACAACCCAGGTGCCTCTCCTACCAATCCTTTTAAATGAAGGCCAGCCCTCAAGCCATTCTTTCTGATTCAAGAAGTCAGGAGGAAAAATCAACATAGTCCTTATTCCTTGAGGGTAATTCCACGTCAGTGTTCCACTATCATATCTGCTCAACAAGCTCTATTTCAAGATTTATGTAATATTTTTTATAGAGTTTTCTGCCAACTTGCTGGGTTCCCCTCTATCTTACTCTTTGTTATTAAACTCTAGGGCTTCAAAATGAACACAGATCACCCTTTTGGTACCTTGGCCTCACAAATACTTCCTCAAACTTAAGCCTCATAATCGGGACTCAGATCATGTAATTTCAGATCCAGCTCTACTGCTTACTACCATGTGACTGTGGGCAAGTTACTCAAACTTTCTAAGCTTCAGTTTCCTTACCTGTAAAATGCTGATAACTACCTACTCATAGGGCCACTGTGAAGCATAAATGAGAAAATGCACGTAAAATGCTCAGCAAAAATGCCTAGCACAGTAAATGTTTACTAACTTAATAGCTAGCTGTGATAACAATTATTACCTTTCCTCTATACTAGTTTTTTTTAAGATTTTATTTATCTATCAGAGAGAGAGAGAGAGAGAACACAAGCAGGGAGAGCAGCAGGCAGAGGGAGAAGCAGGCTCCCCTCTGAGCAAGGAGCCCAATGTGGGACTCGATCCCAGGGTCCTGGGATCATGACCTGGGCCAAAGGCAGACACCTCAGCAACTGAGCCACCCAGGCATCCCACCTCTATACTAGTTTTTGGCACATTTCCCCTTGTCACCAAACCGGCTCAGGCCTCCTGACTTTGTTTTTCCAGTTTTATCAAAATATAATTGACAGTCTCATGACTTTTTTAAATGAAAAGACACCTTTTCTGGAATTTGTTACCTGTATCCCAAGATTTATTTCCTTCCTTTTACCACACACTTTTCCAAAGAGTAATGTACCCTTCCTTTCAGAAGCAAGGAGTAATGGAAGGATCATGGACTTTGGAGCCAAATATACCTGCATTTGAACCTGACTCTTCCACTTGGCAGCTATATGACCTGGAGCAAGCACTTTTTCTAAGCCTGTTTTTTCATAAATAAAATGGGGATACTACCCCATTTCTTAGGGTCATTGAAAGGACTAAAATGAAATAATACATGTAGAGCAGCTGGCCAAAGTAAGTGCTAAATTAAGGCCAGTTTCCCACCCCTGAGCCTTTCCTTAACCCCTTACAATCTAGGTTCTCCCTCTACCACTTTATTTATACTGGTTTTTCTCACTTCAGCTCTTATTAGCATTATGATTTGGGGCAATTGACTTGACTTCCCTCAACCTTAGTTTTTCGTTTGTAAAACGGTGATCATAATAACTACAAGATAAAGTTGTCTCGAGATTTAAGTAAATATCATATGTAAAGTATTTTTGCACGGTGCCTGATCTTGTAGTAAGCACTTAACAAATGGTAGCTTCCAGTGACTTATTAATGGTTAAACCAAAAGACTGTTCAACTCTCTCCTCTAGGCTTCAGTGACAACACTCTATTCTGGTTTGCTTTTCACCACTGACTATTCCTTCTGTCTCTGCACCTCCTCCATGCAGTCGTTCTTTATTCTCCTCAACCAGGTTTGAGTTCTCTCTTTTGAACCCTCAGATCACTTTGTACTTCTCCTGAGGCAAGGCACTTGTCTTGCTCTGAATCACAGAGTACACTACTTCTTCATTGCCTGGTGTTTATTTATTCCTGTAGCTTTTATTGAGTACCTAATGTAAGTCATACCTGTGCTAGGGATACAAAAATTAATATCATAATTACTGTCCTCAAGCAGCTTATAGGAGGGTAGAGCAGGCAGTAGTCTATTATTTGAAATGTGGTAAGTCCTAAGGTAAAAGTACACCCAGGGTCCTCTGGAAGCACAAAAAGGAGTTATTTATATTAGGTTGGGGAAGTAGGGAACACTATCTTGGAAAACGCATTTTGTGCTTAGTATATGAGGAGGCCGTACACAAATAGCTGTTAAATGAACGAATGGACTTAAATAGGAACTAACCAGATGAGGATGTTTCCCATCAGGTCCAGAGAAATAGCAGGGGAAAAGGCTTGGAGTACAGATGTTAAAAAATTTCCCAAGAGACAACAGATGAAGCTGAAAAGCCAAGGCAGGGTTGGATGTTAGAGACACAGGAGTCTGACCTGACCCCAGAGGGCAGATGATGGAGTGCCAATAAAGGTCTTTAAGTAGGAAAGGGATATAATCAGATTTGCATTTTACTATCAGTACTCCGGCAGTTAAGGGAAAATGGATTCCACGAGAGCTAAGCTAGAGACTGCGAGTCCAGTTACAAGGCTATTGTGGTAATTCCGGTAAGTTATGAGAACCAGAAATGCTGAAATGAAGAATGGTCAATCCAGATGGATACTGAGTCACCTTAAACTGTGGCTGAACTGAATTATTCATATTTGTATCTTCTGCAAGCAGTGCATTTTACACTTAAAACCCGCTACAAATACCCACCTGTAGATATTTGTCTACTACTAATATTGAAACCTACTTAGGGAACAGCAGCTAGCAGCCAGCTGAGTCACTTCCGGTACATAGATTCCTAAGTAAAGGCATCTTTTCCCATTACAGAACTCAAAAGAAACTTAGGTAACCTATTATTCAAACCCAGAAAGGAACAACAGTGAATACAAACACCGCGCACTGCGTAGAGACTCTGAGATGTCTCTATCCTAGTCTATTTCACCTCCAAATGTTTGAACGAAGTCTTTCAAAGGGTCATGAGACTCCGCCCTGAGCGCCCAGTCGAATGCCCAGGATTTTTACTCTTTCAGTTCAAGACCCACAAGTCTGCTGCTGCTTGTCGCCAAGCCAGTCTTTTTCACCCGGCCGTTCCCCAGTTTTCACCATGCCGCTGTATAAACAGTTAACTGCAGGGGACGGAGGAGAGAGTACTGTCCCATGCTCAGAAAATCCAAGGTGGAGAGGTCGGTGTTTGGAGGCTGCAAACGTTTTTTTAAGATTCCCTGGCCTTGTCAATTCTCTCACAACCCCACCTCCACCCCGCCTCTTGCTGTAGGGCTCCCTTCTGAAGTTAGGAGGATCCCTTCTATAGTTACTAGAATGCTATCTGCACCCAGAAACTAAGGAAGGTTTTTTTTTTTTTTTTTTAAACTTACCCTCACAGCCGCCATATCTGTGACCTTCTCCGTCTGAGTTTTTCATATGGTGGGCAGAGAGGGACAAAACAGCTCAACTCGGCTCACCTCACCAGCCCCGCCTTGTTACGTCCTTGTCTGCTGTCTCCGCCCTTTCTCCACCCTCCTAGTGCGGCTTTGGAAAGCTGCTACAGCTAGCCGGCTGTCTCGGTAAAACCGTTCCATCCTCGTGACTGACTGTTCCTATCCTCGATAAAGCCTTTCAGAATACTCTCCATAATCCAGTTGAAAGCTGTTTTGCTCGGTGCAAAAGTTTGCACTATTTTCATTGTTTCAGACATATGTGATTTGTCTAGGTAAGGATCTAAAATCCAAGTCGAGCTGCATTAATAAATAACTATATAGTCAGGTCCAGGCAGATTGAAGAAAGCTTTCTTAAAATTTTAAAGAGAAAGGAAAAGAGTTTTATTCAAGCCCAAGTGAATACAGTTGCCCGGAAACACAGTCTTCACAAAGAAAGGAGTGCTCCTGGGAAGGAACATTTGGTGCAGGGTTTTATATACATATTTTTTTTTCCTTTTTTCATAAAAAGTTACAAATCATCCTGAGGAAGGACATTCCAGAAGGTTAAAGACGTTATCTTAGGTTTTTAATATGTGCAAGGCTGTATTACTTTAATTTTATGGGAACAAGGGAGATTTTTTTTTTTTCTTTTTCTTATCTTTATGTTTGGAATGCTCTTTTTTGGCTATTTTTTTTAATGAAGCATATGTACAACATGTGCCTGGGGCGGAAATAAAGTCCATACTTTGAAGTTTTGCAGAGTCATTTTGACCTTGGTAAATGTTAAAGGATACATTCTCTGGGACCCCAGGAGCAGGACCCACAAACACATGAAAAGTTGAAAATTTCTTTATTTTATCAATCACTAAAAGAACATCTTACCTCTGCGATAAATGGTCAAGTTCATACATTTTAAGACTATGTCACTCTGAGCGTTCTATATGCCAGGCACTTGTTCAACATACAGGACAATACGATGTCTTTCCTCATGGAGCTTATGTTTCCAAGAGGAAAAGACAAACAAATGTTACGAAGTGCCAAATGCTATGAAGGAAAATAAAACAGTATGGAGATAAGGTGAGAATTTACTTGTTTAAATTGGTTAGGGAAAGGCTATCTGATAAGCTGACATTTGAGAAAAGTGCTGAAGGAATTTAGGGAAAAACATTTCATGTAGAAAGAACAACAATGAAAAACAGCCGGTGTGGCTGGAGTGAGAAGTTCAAAAGGAATGAAATAACAGGCTATGTAGGGGCTTTTTGTACCACAATACAGACTTCGGATTTGATTCTGAA